GGGGGGCTCCGTGTGTCAGACTCCACAGTGACGCCAGGTGCAGGCTGGCAGAATGAGGCATGTCCACTTAGAGGTACCAGGATCTTAATCTGCATCCTCAGGCCAGGAAGGATAGGTCCCTTGACAGACCTGTGGACAACACGTCAGGGGTCATAGCTGGCCATCCCCAACCACGCCACGAGAACAGGGTCAGCCGGCAGCTGTTGCATGACCAGGCCCCTCCCAGCGAGGCCCGGCTGCAGGGCAGACTTAGATGAGGAGAGATGGGCCGTGAGTCTTCCGGTCCTACATGCTGGTTCAGGGAAGGAGCAGGAAGACTGGAAATGAAGGAGGGTGGACAAAGTGTGAGGGGTACGGTACACCAGGGGTACAGAACCGGGGGGAGCACGTCGGACCAGGAGAGAATGAACCGACGCCCGCTGTACTGGACACTCCCTGCCCCTTCCTCGTTTCAACCTGAAGACAGGAGGGGAGGGGATTTCCGCACAAAGCTTTAGTTCTACAGGGAAACAGTTATGCCTGCCCTTAGTATGTGCTCAAATGTTGAGCTGAAGTCTTACTAAACATTTTAAACCTGTTCAGGTCTTCAACCACCCTGGGTTCTGCTTTGGGGAGCGTGAGAAGCTGATGACGTCTGTGAAGAAAGTATGGGTTCATCCCTCATGGACAATGCTGATCCATTATAAATAGCTCTTTATTATGAGTATATAGTGTCTGATACAGAAAATAAATCTCATTTCAGATCTTTAAAATAATTTCTGGAGACAAAGCAATCTATTCTGATCATTGCTAAAATAATGTTCACATTCAGATGTTTAAACCTGAGGAAACTACTATTTCACACACCCAGGACACCATCAGTAGTCTAAAAGTGCAATTTACCAGAATTGTGTACACTTTTTTCAGAATCAGGAATGATTCTAGATTATCCATGGTAAAAAAATAAATACTATCCTCGTAGACCACCAGTACGTACTGTGGGCTCTCATATCCCAGCTCTCGCCTGGTAGCTGAGTCCTCACGTGCTGAGTTCCTCCCCCGATGTTAAGGCCACAACATCGACAGAAGCTGCACCGGCGCACACGGAGCCTCGTCGATCTCAGGGTGTTCCGTGGCCCATCTGCTGGCGCTCTGTGCGCACACTCTTCAAGAACAGGCCGTGAGCCCCTCTCTTCATCTGAGCACGCGGTGGTGGGTGCCTGCCCTTGGAGAGGCGTTCACTGGTCCCAGTCGCTGGGGTTCTGCTCGTCCCCCTCCTCCTCAGAGTCAGCAGACACCCTCTTGATTCTCTGCAGGGCCGCCTGGATGCTCCTCTCAAGGTCACTGGTTGGTTTGCCGCTGGGGCTCCGGCTCCGGCCAGAGTCTGGGTGGACTTTCTTTAGTTTGACTCCTTGCCTAATGGCCGCCAGAATGTGCTCATTGACAGACGTGCAGGGAGGGGACACGGCAGGCACTTCCACTTTCTGGAGGGGGCTTCTGCCACTCCTCAGTGAGGCCAACACTTCATCCATAGAGCCTGAAAGGGAGTGGAAGACAGCAAGTACTATCCAGAACACAGCCGCTTCCTCCCCCATGCCGGAGTTAGTGCCATGTTTTAAATGAGTAATCATCAGGCCATCAAACAAGTGCTTCATCTGTGAGACAAATCCACAGTCCGGCCCCTGCTAGAATCAAGGAGAGTTTAAAAGCTAATCTTGTTTTCCTTGGCCACTTACTTTGCGCTGACTTCTTCCAATCCCTAGCAATGTCAGGCACAGCCATGTAAACCTTTAGCGGGACATGCCATGAACTCTCTCTGTGTGACTCTGGAGAGAGCTACGGGTGCTTGAGGTGGGGTCACTGGGTCCAAGGCACACGACCCTGGTGCCTTTGCAAGTGTATTGCTTTCATTTCCCTTCACTCTTTGAAAAAAACCGTTTTTCTTACCCCACTACAGTAGTCATGCATCGGGCTGCTAACCATACGGTCAGCAGTTCGAAACCACCAGAGGCTCCTCAGGAGAAAGATGAGGCTTTCTACTCCTGTAAAGAGTTACACTCTCAGACACCCACAAGGGCAGTTCTATGGCAGTGAGTGTCTACCTAACTTCAAGGAGAGCCTGGTAGCGAGCGCTATGGATTAGGCACTGGGCAAGGTCTGAGGCTCACGGCATCCACCACTCCGGCAGAGGGAGATGAAGTGCTCTGCTCCCCTAAAGATTTGCAGCCGTGGGAACCCTACACGGGGCTGAATGGACTCCGTGGCAGTGGGTTCAGTCCTGGACATTAGTAGGCGAGGACTCGTACACAGAGGTGAGGAGCGTGGCACACACGGAAAGGCCCAAGGTACACCTCCATCAGCAGCTCAGTGGGCTGGGCAGGGGCTGCCCTGGCACATTCTCCTGCACCGGGTGGGTTTCACTCCACCTATGTCGCCCAACAGTGACCGACCTGCTCTCGTGTTGAGGGTGTGAAATGCTGCCAAGACACAAATCAAGAGTTTCTAGGCCTTGATGAGAAATTATCTGTCACTTCTCCGACACCTGGGCAAATCTTTATCACCTGCTGGGGACGAGGCATACCTGTCGCCACCATTGAGAGCTCTTCCAGGTGGGGCTTCGCGATTAATCACCTTTTACCGAGTCAGGATGGAAAACTAGGCTAGGGCTCAGAACAGGCTATTCTGCTCGGGAGAGCCTTGAGCACGGTGCTGAGTGTACGGGGCAACAGCTCACCAGGCCAGGCCGTTTTCGGGGTGGTGCTCTCCCTGGTCTTGTTTTCAGTGACACGAGGCAGCTGGCCATTGAGCTCAGGCTGGACTAGAGCCCCCCACAGACACACTTGATCCAGCGCAGGCAGACAAGCTCTTGCGCTTCCTTTACCTAACTGTTGGAAGAGCCCTCGAGGCAGGGTGGTGACGGGCTGGGCTGCTAACCGCAAGGTCAGAAGTTGGAAACCACCAGGCACTCGGGAGAAAGGCCTGGCTTTCTACGCCTGTAAAGAGTTAAACAGCCTCGTCCTCCAGGGAAGCTAGGGGTCGGCAGGGAGTCTGTAACATTGCCGGGGAATGGGAGTGGAAGACGTGGTCTTCCACGTAACCGTGTAGGCATTTCAATAGCACCTGGTTCTCCGTCCGGTAAAACCAGGAACTCACAGAGTAACCAGAAGAGTCTGGAGCCGGTAAACTGGCATCACTCCTATCACTTAGCACAATAATGTAGTGGCGCTGTGGGCTCGGCGTTGGACTACTACCCACAAGATCACGGTTCAAACCCAACAGCTGCTCTGAGGGAGAAAGATGAGGCTGTCTGTTCCCGTAAAGACTGACAGCCCCAGAAAGCCTACTGAGCCAGACGCAACTGGATGGTTGGGGGGTGAGGGTTGGGGTTGGATTCTAAATGTAGGTGCTCAAATGTATTTAGATAAATATACACAGCATATTGCTGGAATTTTTCTAAAACAACACGGACACCCAGAAATAAATCGGAAAGCTCGGAGCCTGGCCACGTTTAGGCCAATCTCCTAAAGAGTAATTGTCCACAGTCATCATTAGAATCAGAAACTATAACCTTAATTAAACAAAAGCATAAGCCATTGCATTCAGTGTACTGTACTTGCTGAGACAAAAAAGTAGCCCATGAATTTGGGGGGACCACGACCTTTTAGAAAGATTTCCAATAGTGAGGTTATCAGCCTGCCTCCACAGCCTTCTGCATCCCGGTGAATACTTCTCCCTCACGGTCCCCAGCCACTACTCTGCTTCACATACGACTCGAAGATGCGGCAGCAAACTTAACTCAGAGCAGTATTGAAAAATACACACACAACAGAACTCCATCACACACGATGTGTTAGAAAGCCAGAAGTCAGCTGATTTTTAAAACCGCCTCAGTGATTCCAACACATGTGATCAGTAGGTATGTGGAGGACAGTGTTTTCACCCCTCCGGGTAAGTTGGTGTGTATCACACGAAGATGGATACTTTGGACGTGTTCTCAGGAGACACCAGTCCCTGGAAAAAGGCATCATGTTTGGTGAAGCAAGGACTAAGCCAAAAAGAGGAAGACCCATGACAAGATGGATTGACCCAGTGGCAGCCAATGGGCTCGACCAGAACAACTGTGAGGATGGCGCGGGACCCGGCCGTGTTTGGTACACAGGGCCGCTGGCTGAGTCGGAACTGGCTTGATGGCATCTACCCACAACTGTGCAATGGAGCCCTGGTGGCCAGTGGGTTCCTCGTTGGACTGCTAACTGCAAGATTGTCAGTTCAAGCCCGCCAACAGCTCTGTGGGAGAAAGCTGAGGCCGTCTGCTCAGGTACACACGGGTCTACTCCGTCCTACAGGCTCACCAGGGGTTGACATTAGCTCCACACCAGTGGGGTTAACTGCACAAGAAACAAACACTGCCTAAGGCACAAATCCTGTCATAGATTAAGATTATAGGGAATTCTGGGGGGAAAAGGTCTCAATTTGGAGACGTTGGCGCCTAAATCTACAATGGCTCACAGCTGTAACAGTCCACATGGCAAAGAGACAGAAAGAACTTGGGCAGATTACCTGGGCACTTAAAGGCTTCAGAAGGGTTCCGGGGCCTCTCCGGAAGTGGCTCACAGACCAGAGGGAGTGGCTGGTCCTCTCTGACTGAAGTCCTGACGGGTAACTTCCGAGGAGAGGCAGCGGGGCAAGAAAAGGGGGCGGCGGGAAGTGGCGGCGGCGG